TTGTATAGATTAGTCACCCTTATGCTGACTTCTCAAATTTTTGTTGGTTACGTTCCAGACTACAGTTGGATTCTTAGAAGAAATTTAAGTCAAGTCCATGAAGGCTGTTCATTAAACAAACAAGCAAAAAGCTTATTTTATTTATGTAGGTAAAAAATAGGTACACATTAAAAACAAAACAAAAAACAAATGAAGCCTCTCACAAATGCAGTTGTACATCATAAAGCAAATGGTGGGGAATAATTCCAAATGGTTGGTTGGGTAAAATCATAAGTATTTCTCTCATTGACTCATTTCACTTATTGTGGTAGTTAAGAAAGAAAACAGATGAACATACAGGAGGGAGAGAAAGAGAGAGAGGGAAACAAATCATGAGAGACTCTTAACTATGGAGAACAAACTGAGGGTTGATGGAGGGAGATGGGGGGGGAATGGGATAGATGGATGATGGGCATTAAGGAGGGCACTGGTTATGATAAGAACTGGGTGTTATTCATAAATGATGAACCAGTGAATTCTACTCCAGAAACCAATACCGAACCGTATGTCAACTAACTAGAACTTAAATTTAAAAAAAAAGAGAGAGAAAATAAATCATTGGCATTTGGTTTGGATATATACTCTACGATTTTTCTTACTGATATTGCTCCATATCCTGACCAAGGAAACTGTGATAGATGGCTGAAATGAGAGAAGGCAGTTGTGGCAAGTCAGACTGCACACTTTTTAGTGAAAGCAAAACTAACAAGAAATTTAAATGACCTTTAGTGAATTGAAAGCTAGAGTTACATCTAAATATACATCACCCCCTCACCATGCCCTCTCCTGAACAGGCGTTGAGGACAGGGTCCTAGGTAGTAGTTGAATTTGAGACCGCAAATAATTAAAGGCAAAGCAGATTATTAATTGGTTGACCCAAGAGTGATTCTTTTAAATGTATATGGGAATTTAAAAAGCATTCAACCCCAACACAACCCCTAAATCCTCTTTCAACCTCTGTTGTTTAGAAAGTTTCCAATGGTCTTCAATCTCTCTAACTGGTCATACAGAACAATTAATTATGAGTGCGGTTGTAAAGTCATGTACATCCCCAATTAGGAGAGAGGTAGTCTGTGTTTTGTAACAAAATCTAGAACTTCCACCCTTCATTGTTTTTTTTTTTTTTTTTTAAGATTTCATTATTAATTTGAGAGAAAGAGAGAACATGGCTGGGGAGGGGCGGGGGCAAGGTGGGAGAGTCTTAAGCAGACTTTGGGCTAAGCATGAAGCCTGACATGGGACTCCATCTCACAACCCTGAAATCAGAACTTGAGCCAAAGAGTCTGACACTTAACCAACTGCACCACCCAAGTGCCGGAACCTCATTGTTTTTACTTATGGTGTCATGATGATGATGACAATGATGATAATGTTTTAATAATTACTTCCTATGAATTAAACAGTTTTACATTTTGATGAATAATTTATTCCTTTATTAATCTGCTCTAGGTCATAAATACTTGAATGTGTACACGACAATTCAAAATGCTACTAAAATCTGTACTTATTTAGTGATTTAAAAATTGTGCAATTGAACACATTTGCTCCTTTTCAAACTAATTTTAAGCTCCATTTCTAAATGAAAAGAATTTCAGGAAGTTTAATATAAGGTGTATGGAAAAGGAACATACAACTAGGATAGTAAGATATTTTAGCTCTCCTCATTGCTGTTTTTCTGTGCAGGTGCATAGAGCATTGGAAATGCCATAAGACACTCTGCTTTGTCATGCACAGAGTTCAATAGAGAGCTCTGACCTGTGTGCATGCATGATTTATACACAAACCATATCATAGGAAGAGCTACCAGAACTAGATGGGTTTAAGATCCCTGAGACATCACCATTCTTCCCTGCTTATGCCACCCAGAGTAGAAGCATCTTTTTTCTCTTCTATTTTCTCTTAGTCTGATGCTCCCTCAGATCATACCAAGTTCTTTCCCAGTACCATAACCTTATTCTGGATGCAGAGCTAACAATACCTCTATTTCTGTTGCCCTACATTGAGGTTATCATAGTTTTTCTCTATTATAAATAGCACCACACTGAATAACTTTGCACATAAACTATCCCACGTGGTTCACTTTAAAAGAAACTTACATAAAACATAATGTTTGCTGTTTTAAACCCACAAGGCATACCTATTAGACATGTGTTACTCATGTAAAATGGAAAAGGAAAACATGGAAAATATTTGTCTTCTCTCAGTTACTTACTATTTGCGTCCCTCTTTCAATTTTAAGCTCCTTGAAGGCAGGATTATGCCTTGGAAATTTTGCATTTCCTGTGAGTCCAGAATTATTTCCTCCATAATACTCAGTAAAAGTTTGCAGTCTTGAACTGAATATGAAATGGCTTTGAATAGTCAGCAAACCAACACCTGTTTTTGCCTCCATAAGCTACAATGCTTGTGAAGGATTTTCCTGGTTCTTTTTACACACAGCATCTGCTGACAACAGGTGATGCATTCTGGGGAGAAGAGCCTTGCCAGAGGGATTTTCCTTTACTAACGTCCTCTTTCCAGATGTTTCTTCCCTGTAGTATATCCTGAATTATGAGGCCCTGGGAGGCAATTGCCATCACTGAGATGACATGTCACACCTGGAATTCGACACTCTTCCCCCACCACACATTTTCCCAAAGTTAAATGTCAAATCTAAGTTTATTGCTAAGGGACTTGGTTGTTTCTCTGTGAAGCCAAATAGTGTGCTTAATATTAGTTTACCACTCGTGTTTACCACTTTAAATGTAAATAGACATGTAAAGATGAAAAAAACTATTTTAAGATCAGAATGAATTGGCAAAATAATATAGAAGGTAGAATTCATGGTCTTATGGCACTCCATCATTTTTCTTAAAAATATACACCACTATCTAAAGTTGAATTAGTTATATGTTTGAAATATGTAAATTAGACTGATCTCTGTGTACTGTCTTCTGTATGAAGAAGGAAAGTGTTAAATAACTTTTTAAAAATAGTGGCCATTGGTATGTATGTAATTATGTGTGTGTGTATGTACATATGTACACATGTATATCATAATTCACTATTTCAAACCTGTACCTACATCCACATATCCAGGTAATAGTTTTGTTTAATGTAAGTTGATTGTTATTAACTTTCCTATTCACCAATGAGTCATACACACTTTACTGTCCTCATAGGATATCATAATGTCTTTATTTCTGTTCTGTTTCAGTTAAGCTAAAAAGAGTCTTCTACTTATAATGGTCATTATTTTATTTTATTTTATTTTATTTCATTTTATTTTACTTTATTTATTTATTAAGCCTGGGAACAGCTCACTGAAGAGTTTAATAATAATATGTTTTAAATGCCAGTTACAGAATGTCATTTAGAAACAGAATGGTATATTACTTAGAAATAAGCATTTTTTTTTCCAGTCCTAGCAACAGTTACATCTAAATGTAAACTTTATATTTACAATCAAATAATTCTAGGGTTTTTTTGTTGCAAAATTTTGGTTTCTCCAAAAAAATCAAAGATGATATTCAAAGTATAGATGATTTAATTTATCCTTCTAACAAATTGTAATTACCTTTTTAAAAATAACTGTGAATGTGTATCTCTCGCATATGGGAAGCTCAAGAATGGAACAATTTTAAAAAATCTGGTAAAAGGCATATTTCTCTAAGTATTATCATGATATCTAATTGCATTTATTAGTTTCAATCTGAAACTTAAACATACTATTATTTGTATAGAGTAAACTAAAACTTATAGCACAGGCCAGTCTTACACACCAACAAACTGTTGAAGTGATGAAAACATGGGAAAAAGACAGTAGTGAAATTAAATTAAAAAACCATATGTGCATTTTAAGGCATCTAATAATAACAGCTAGTACTGATGCTAAGTTCTTTAAAACATCCTGGCTGGCTTATTTAAACCTCACAACAGCTGTATGGGGTTGTGGTTGTAGTTTTTTCCAGCTTTCAGATGGAGACAGTGAGCCTGAGATGTAATATGTACCTTACCCTGGATACCACAGCTAGTGGAGAACCCAGGATTTCAAAAATGATTTGAGGATGAAGCGAGACCATTTGATATTTGAGAGAATATAGGCATTTTAATTGGAAGTTCATTTAGAGATTTTCCTATCCAGCATTCCCAAAGTACATTCTATGGTCACTAGTTTTATCAAATGCTCTTGAATAAAAGCATCCCTATTTTAGTACATCAGGAAGGAAAACAAACAAACAAACAAAAAAAAGACCATATAAACTTTTCCCCTTCACTCTAGGAGATTTATAGTAAGCATAACAAAGTTTCTAAGAAATCCCAGAGTGAAGAGATCTGTGTTCACCAGTGGTTTCCAGCCATCACTGACAAGAAAACTCTTTAATGAGGACACCTTTCAAACCCTTAGAAAATGAGTCCCTTCAAATATAAATAGTTAGAAAGTTCAGCCCTATTATCTGGCAGTTAGAAAACTGAGGTCACAAATGTCATTGTAACCCTGAAATCTTATCTCCTAATCCTACACGTTTGACCTCAATCAGCAATTAAAACAGCATGTAGGCAAAACTGTTCTATTTTACGTTTCTTCCAGATTTCCATTTTCATTACATCTTCTCCACAAGGAAACCATCATTATAGTGAAGATATATAGATGGAACAGACAGAGAGGCTACATTCTAGTTGACTTAACACAAAGCATGCACAATAAAATTTTAATCTAAGTAAATAATTCAGATTTTTTGTTATTAAACATTTCATTTGTCTTGAAGCATTTAATATATAAAAATTAGAGAAAAATAAAGCCAACAGAAAACTCTAGAAGAGTCCTGAGGATCTCAAGAATCTCCTTTGAGAGGTGACCATGGGCCATAAGTGTGTTTCACCACCACAGCCTTATTGTATAATATCATGGAGTTGATCATATATAGTTCAACAGAATTTTTTATGTATTTTTCTTACCACTACATGTTTTGTCATTTCAGTTCCTCCGAAGATATATGACATCTCAAGTGATATGACCATCAATGAAGGAACCAATGTCACCCTGACTTGCTTGGCCACTGGAAAACCAGAGCCTTCCATTTCTTGGCGGCACATCTCCCCATCAGGTAAAGCAGAAATATATCAGTGTTGCTTGTGCTGCTGTTCAGTATTCTCTTGTAACCTCACTTGTTCAGAACCTAAGAGTCTACTTATATTTTTTACATCTTTTTCATGAGGTAAGCAGAGTGCATATTTTTATATTTAGTCTTTATACCTGAAGGCACGGTAGTTCACAGAAGTTAAATAAATGAACAGTTTCTGTCAGAGCCCAGAATAGAATCTATGTCTCTTGATTCTTAGTCAAGGTTATTTTCATTTTAGTATACTGGATAATCACAAATCAATAGACAAAAAGCTCAAATGGAAATATCACAAGAGAAATATCTTCATTTAAATGTGTAAGGCTTTTATTCAATCGTCATTCACATGTTAATAGGCCAGCATGAACTGCTAAGGTAATCAAGAGAGAATAAAATTATACAAATTACGAGGTTGCTAGGTCTAATTTCAAAATGCAGTTCAGAATCAGGGATTTGGCAGTTAGAATTGAATTTTAACTGATGAGGGACCTAAGAACACAAGACTTTAAGTAACTTGTACAAGATCACATAGCTAGGTGAAATTAAGTGATATAACATTTTTAAGGGTTTCCGGTACCTTCTGCTACAGTGCACATGTTCCTAAAGAGATTACAACAACTTTAGGAAGTTGGGGATAATCATCATCAAAACAAGATTTTTCACAGCCACTCTTCACAGAATCACCAATTTGTGTCAATTTTAAATATTTGAACTATCAAGCTTTGAGTTGTACCCTGGAAGTAATGTGGTACTTTTAACGAGTAAGATCCCACCATGTTTCCAGTGAGTGAAATTTGATTTTATTTGTTTTATAGTTTTGGTGGAAATAGCTCTAACAAGGCTAGTGTGATGAAATTGCTTTTAAAAAAATCAGAAAGGCACCCTTTATAAAGGTGTCGAAAGAGTACAATTGCCACATCCTTTTTTTCTGCTAATGCTTACTTTAATATCACTTATCCTTAAGTGTCTTTCAGTTTCCTCATTTATGCAGGAGGTCTAATGAAATTTACATCACATGCTAAGTATTACTATTAATGTGAGGAAAAAAATCAATATAACAGCAGTATACACTTATATAATATGCATTATGGCCCCTATAATATTTCTGAAGCATGAGTGTGCTCTTGACTGCCAACACTCCTCTCCTTAAAGCAGCTACAGAATCATAAAACCAGTATATGAGCACTGAATGAGTGGCAGGACTCTTTGTCGAGTCTGAGACAAGGACTAGCAGTTAGGATGCATCTGCTTTTATCTCAAGGTCCTTATCCCTCAGTTCAGCCAATCCCCCTGCAAATCTCAACACCTCACTTACCCTCACCTCGTTGTCTACTTTCCAAAAATTGAATAATAAAAATCCCTAGCTATTGTGGGACTCAAAGAAGATAATAAGCGTAAATGTGCTTTAAAAAGTATAAGGTGATATGCAAATGGATGGCTGTTTCTTAATCATCTTTCCAGGGATTTAAATCTGATATGGCAATATAATTTTTGTAAGAATGAAGCACATAATCTCCATCTTCATATAATTTAAGATTAATATTTTGGACTGAGCTCTCCTGCTTTGCAGTTCTTGTTATTATGCATATTCTTCTTTTTTAAGTGCTTGGATACATTTTGGTTTAATTAAATAGCGTGAATGTTGGTTAGTGAAGTTATTAGAATAATGATAATGGATAACATCATGAAGCTGAAAGAAGACAGATTGGGTTTATAAGTTAAACTGTGCATGGATTTATTTTTCTGATCCCACCATACAGAGCAAATGAGTAAAATTAGCATAAATATTAACTGTTATCCAATGAATAGCTAGACATGGCTGATATATTTATAAATGCTTCCAATAATTCCAAATTATCATTTGTTAATGATCTGTATTCAAATGCATAGCACCATGGAGTTTCTGCTTTAAGTAACATGTCTGATAATTCTATTAAATTTCTTCAACTTACATGTTTATATTTGAAAGCCAAATTATAAACGTCATTGAACTGTCTATATTTTATCCAAAAAATATCAACAATTTGCATACTCTCATCTTTTGCTATATCACAAAAGAAGATGTGCCTCAAAAGCGTGCTCACCATATGAACGAACAGTGGAGAGTGTTAAAAACAAAGCCAGATATACTCCCTGTCAATACTAGAAATAATGGCTAGTTTTTGTACATGTGTGACTTGTTTAGATTGTTTTTTAACCCGTACTTTTGTGAACTCTTACTGACTCATTCGTGGTCTATATCGGTTTTAAAACTCACTAAAAAAATGTCTGGCCACCGGATGATAGCCCCACAGAGCTTCTCCCTAATCCATAAAAGAAAAAAGAAGAAAAAAAAAAAGGTTGTGAGTTCAAGCATAGCACAAACATTGCTGACACCTGAAGGTGTCATTCTACTTGCTAGTTCAAACAGTTCAAGGTACTTTGGGCAAAACATCCTTCTGGGGAAGTTTCTGGATATGTGAGCTTCCTTAGAGTTTATGTGTGCTGATAAATTCTTTCTGTATTTTCTAGTCTGTATTTAGGAATTAAATTCAAATTCATCCAAAAATTGTCAGAGAAATAACACCAACTCTTCCCTACATCCTTTACTCAGTTTTATCCATTGTTTTTCCCATTGGCGTCAACATTTGCTGTGTGTAGAGTATATAAATGTGGAAATTTATATATTTTTTTAATTGAATCATTTGAGAACAATCTGCATATATTGTGCCCTTTTCTTCCTAGTTTTGTCGGTGTGCATTTCTGAAAAATAAGGAATAAGGACATTTTTTTATATATAACCACAGTGCTGTTTTCAGCTTGTTTACGTTTAACATAGATAACATACTTTTGTCCCATTACTATTCGTATTCAAATTTTATCAATTGATGAAATAGTGTCCTTTATAGTTTTTTTTTCCCCCTCTCATGCAAAATCCAAGTATCATATATGGTTGTCACATCACTTTTCTCCTTTACTTCTTTATTCTGGGGTCGAATTCCTTGGTCTTTCTTTGTCATTTCCAGACACATATTTTTCAACAATGCATGTGCCACCCCACTTTTTTAATAGAATAATTCTCATTTTGGGCTTGACTCATGTTTCCTCATGATTAGGTTTTAGTTATGCCCATCTGGGTCTAAATAAGTAAAGTTGTAGACTTTCAGGGAGTGATATCCAGAGGCAGAGGATATCCATCTGTCCCTTATTTGCGATGTTAATCTTGATTACCTAATCAAGGTGTCTGATTTCTGCATTGTATAGTTCCTTTTGTTTTTTCCTTCCCTGTGCTGCCAATAAGCAATAGGGAGAGATTTTACAAAACATTAAATGCAAATGTCTGTTACTTGTTAACCTTCTTCCCTCAGATTTTGCATTATCAGTGATTCTTTTGTGAACTAATCTTTACTGTGATGATTTACAAAGTGAGGATTTTTCTAGCTTGAGCCATCCTACTTTTCACCAGTTAGCATTGGCATTCTGCTGTAAGAAAGAACCTCACTTCCCCCTTTCTTTCTTCCTTCCTTCCACCCTCCCCCTTTCTTTGTTTCTTTGTTTCTTTTTTTCTCTCTCTCCTTCCTTCCTTCCCTTTCTCTCTTTCTTCTTTTTTCCTTCCTTCTTCCCTCCCTCGCTCCCTTCCTCCCTTTTTCTATTTATAATGGCAGAAGCTCACATATTCCCATCTTTTTAAAACTGTTTATAATTCATTACTGTCTTTAATTATTTTGATGCTTTAATTGTTCTTTATTTGGTGAGTGGAAGTTACTTCATTCTAATTCCTGTGTACTTGTGATGTGATCCCATCATTTGTTGTTGTTTTTTGGTTTTTGGGTTTTTTGTTTTGTTTTGTTTTTGTGGGGGTTTTTTTGTTTGTTTGTTTTTAGCACTTTCTTAACTTCTGGCATGACAAAATATACCAGCTTTGTCTTGTATTTTAGCTTCCCTATCTCTGGAATCAACCGTTTTACATTACTTCAGTGATTGGATAGTGCTTACTTGGGGTTGTGACAGTTATACATTGGTTTAAAATATGTAACTCTGTTGATCTACTTTATAGTAAAATTATCAGAAACTCAGACATCTAGACTACTTTCTATGAGATTCCATTAACCAAAAGAAATTAAATAACTTTAGTGCAAAGAACTAATCCTATTTTGTTTGGTTTTATCTAACAGCAGTCCTGGAATAGGGTCTGGGACCTGGTGTGCATACAGAGGGGAGGATGATTATAGAATTAGTAGTAAAATTGTATTTATATCAAGCAAAATGTAAGGAGGCAATTGTTCTGTTGTGAGAGATTTAGATAGGTTCATACGTCTTTATTTATAGGAGATACTGCTGCTTTACCTAATCTATGGCTAATTTCTTATAAACTTAGGAAATTTTCAAGGGTTTCTCAAAATTCATATTATAAGGTATATGATTCCCTTCATTCCTGCTGGTAATTTCTTAGGCATTAGATGGTGCCAGTATAGTTCAGTGATTAAGATCATGAACTTTATATCAGTCAGAATTGGATGTGAGACCCAGATCTTCATCTTACAAACTATAAGACCTTAGGCAAAATTGTTAACTTGTTTAAATTTTAAATATAAAATAGTGATGCTAATTATCCCCATTTCACAGAATTGTTATCTGAGTATTAAATGGGATAGTATAGAGCTTTGAACAGAGTCCATGACTTATAATAAATAACCTATAATAGTAACTATTAATTTACTATTGAAATCTATTTAAAATTTTGATCAAATGGAATCTCCAACCCTATTTCTAAAATTGAAGGGCTTACTAATAACTTTTGAAGGCAATTCACATAGCTGCTCTCAAATGAGGGTATCATAATGCTAAAACCCAATTAAAACTTCTAGAGAACATTGACAAATTTATACAGGGCATCTGAGTTTGAATATCTTTATATTCAAAATAAAGTTCTTAACCATAAATCATTGCATTAATAGATCTAGACCAGTCAGGAAAAAAAAAATAGGAAAAGTTAAAAGATAAAT